TGTTGGGGTGCAGGGCCAGGGTGAGAACATTTATCAAAGTGTTGAAGTGAGAGGCCAGGGTGGGTTCATTCCTAAAGGTGTTGGGGTGCAGGGTCAGGGTGGGTGCATTCATTGAAGTGTTGGGGTGCAGGACCAGGGTGGGTACATTCATGAAGATGTTGAGGTGTAGGGCCAGGGTGGGTGTGTTCTTCAAGATATGGGGGTGCAGGGCAGGGTGGGTTGCCTTTGTTCATCATCCAGGGTCACCATCTGGTTTGGGATGCCGGCTCAGAGATGACACGAATATACAAATATGTAAATCCTGGTGCCTGTGAAATTCTTGGCTGTGTTCACAAATGTCTGACACAGATCAGCCCCTTGCTGCAGCCCTTTTCCTTGCTACAAAGTTACAATGTACAGTCCAAGTGATCACGGTGGGGGAGCGGAGACTGAGGAAATGTTTCCTCCCGCCTGCAGCAGATTGATGACGTCACCTCAGCCTAGTCAAAGTCACATAAACTGGAGCTCGAGGACGGCTTTTTAATTCCCGGCGCTGTGCTCCTCCCACTTTACGCAGAACTAAGGACATGATTGGGTTGGACTTTGGCGCAGACAGTGATCCATAGACAGGCAGACGGACGGAGGAAGTGACGACGGCATGAAGCACGCTCCGCACTGAGTCAACTGCCTGTAATTAAAGTCACATTTCAGACACGTTCAAAGAGGCTGCAACTCGCTTTTGGCCTCGTTAAAATACGCTCCACGAAGACGATTAAAAGCTTACGAATATTTCTTCTCCGCCCGCCGTTTCTTCGTTTCCCAAAGCGCAAAAAAAGTCTAAACCAGAACTCCAGCCAACAAAACCAAAAAAAAAAAAATGAAGAGACCGGAAAGAGATACAAAAGTCGCCCCAGCCTTTGCTGCCACATTCGCCTTCAAGTCGGAGATTTCCCTTGCCGTGCCCTGGCTCTGCCACTAGATGTCCTCAGCAGGATGTCCAGCGTCATTCAACTTGAGCCAGAGCCATCCCGGACCAGCCCCCAGTATGGGACCGGACAGTGAAAGGAGAAGCAGCTCAGGGAGATCATCTCTCCGCCACTCTGCTCTCTCCTCCTACCAGCTTGCATTGTGTATGTCACCTGAGATTGTGCATAGTGTAGGGTCATGTAAAGGAGATCGTACAATCAGATTGCATAGCGTACAGTCACCTGAGATTGTACAATCAGATTGCATAGTGTACAGTCACCTGAGATTGTACAATCAGATTGCATAGTGTACATCACCTGAGATTGTACAATCAGATTGCATAATGTATGTCACCTGAGATTGTACAATCAGGTTGCATAGTGTACATCACCTGAGATTGTACAATCAGATTGCATAGTGTACGTCACCTGAGATTCTACAATCAGATTACATAGTGTATGGTCATGTAAAGGAGATTGCATTGTGTATGTCACCTGAGATTGTACAATCGGATTGCACAGTGTACGTTCACTTGACATTGTACAATCAGATTGCAGTGTGTACGTTCACCTGAGATTGTACAATCAGATTGCAGTGTACGTTCACCTGAGATTGTACAATCAGATTGCATAGTATACATCACCTGAGATTGTACAATCAGATTGCATAATGTACGTCACCTGAGATTGTACAATCAGATTGCATAATGTACGTCACCTGAGATTGTACAATCTGATTGCATAGTGTATGTTCATGTAAAGGAGATTGCATTGTGTATGTCACCTGAGATTGTACAATCGGATTGCACAGTGTACGGTCACCTGAGATTGTACAATCAGATTGCATAGTGTACGTCACCTGACATTGTACAATCAGATTGCATAGTGTATGGTCACCTGAGATTGTACAATCAGATTGCATAGTGTATGGTCATGTAAAGGAGATCGTACAATCAGATTGCGTAGCGTACAGTCAGCCAAAAATAAATTACACAGAGATTGTCCAATCTGATTGTACTGTGCATGGTCAGATCGGAGGACAATCCCTAGCTTGGACAGATCAGCGATTGAACCAATCTTCCTGCCCAGAACTTTACAACCGATCGCCATTCCTCCCCGGGGAGGAAAAACAGAAGAAAGTTCCCTTTGCGCACAAAACGCGCGCCGCGACCACGAGACGACCGGATCTCGCAATCGCCTTCCCTCGACACAACCGCGTTCCTTTGTTAAAGGCAGAAAAAAAAAATGATCCTTTAAATGTCTCTTCCAGACATGATATGGAATGTGGGGGGGGGGGGGAGGGAACAGAGCATTGAAGTTGGGGGAGGGGGGGAAATCTCCCATCATAAACCAAAAACTTCCAAAATTCCAAAATCCTTTTTTTTCCACATCAGCAATTCCCAGCAGACCCCCCCCCCCCCCACCACCACCACCACCCCCCCCATCCCCCTCCTCCTCCAACCTCATTCCAGCCCCCTTGTCTTGTCCACTCAGCTCCTCATTCCATCCAACTTTTTTTTTTTTCTTGTTGTTCTGTTGGAGGTAGAGAGAGAAGAGGAAAAAAAAAAATGGGAGTTTAGAAAACTCTGTCCCTCCCCCCCTCTCCTGCCTGCGGAATGGTTTCTTCCTCCTCTGGATTCATCATTCTCTCATTCCAAGACTTTTTTTTTTTTTGTGTGTTACACAGAGAGAGAGAGAGAGAGAAGTGGAGGAAGTGGAGCTTCTACTGTGGGAGCCAAAAATTCACAACCTTCTCCAAGCCCGGGATCTTCTTTCATCTTTTCGGGGGAATTATTATTTCGGGAATTGCCATCGCCACCAAAGGAGCAACCAAAAGAAAAGGCAAAAAAAATAAAAAATTGCATCGAAAACCCACATCTGTTCCTAGAAGTCACCAAAAAAAAAAGAGAAGAAGAAGGATCAAGAGCATGTTCTTCCTCTTCTTATGGATCTTCACGCTTCCAGACACACTTTCGCAAGGTAACGTTCGATACGTTGTTGGAGTTGCGAGAAAAAGAGCAACATGTAGGGTCGCAGGGACTGGGGGGGGGGGGGTTGCTACTTTGTTGCAGGCATCGGGGATGTTGCTGCGGTTCCCTGTCCACATCTGTATTGTATTAGGCTGTGGATGGCTGAGGAACCCCCTTGAGATGTGGCCACCAGATCTACGGTGGCTTTGGGTTCATGCTGTATGTTATCTATTTTATGCTGTTGGATTTTTTATGCTTTAGCTTTATGTTGTTGTTGTTTTTTTTTCCATTACAACTTTGGTCCAGGCTGATGTGATCCAGGACCAAGAAGAAGAAGGAGGAGGTGGGGGGGGGGGATGCTGGATACTAATCATGATTGTGGCATGACTCAGGACCATGACTGGGATGGGTTAACCCGCTGTGAGCTGTTGTTTGTAAAGCGATCTCTTTTATTATTTTCCTTGTGTTTTGTTACATTGTTGTTGGTAAACTGATCTCTTTTGCAGTTTAGGAACTGCAATGTTGTGCTTGCCTTGCGTGACAGTCTTGTGCTACACAATGCATCATTCTCAGGAGCTGCGGGTTTTTCGGAGACTTTGCTAGGTCTGTAACCTGGGCTCTGGGGACCTGCTCCATAGCCTGGGTTCTGGATCTGCTCCATAGCTTGGTCTCCTAGATCTGCTCCATAGCCTGGGTTCTGGATCTGCTCCATAGCTTGGTCTCCCAGATCTGCTCCATAGCCTGGGTTCTGGATCTGCTCCATAGCTTGGTCTCCTACATCTGCTCCATATCCTGGGCTCCTGGATTTGCTCCGTAGCCTTGGTTTAGGATCTGCTCCGTAACCTTAGCTCTGGATCTGCTCTGTAGTCTGGGCTTTGAATCTGCTCCATAGCTTGATCTCCTGGACCAGATCCATAACCTAGTCTTTAGATCTGCTCCATATCCTGGTCTCTGGATCTGCTCAGTAGTTTGGGCTTTGGAGCTGCTCCATAGCTTGGTCTCATGGATCTGCTAAGTAGTTTGTGCTTTGGATCTGCTCCATAGCTTGATCTCATGGATCTGCTCAGTAGTTTGGGCTTTGGATCTGCTCTATAGCTTGGTCTCATGGATCTGCTCAGTAGTTTGGGCTTTGGATCTGCTCCATAGCTTGGTCTCTGGATCTGCTCAGTAGTTTGGGCTTTGGATCTGCTCCATAGCTTGGTCTCATTGGTCTGCTCAGTAGTTTGGGCTTTGGATCTGTTCCATATCCTGGTCTCTGGATCTGCTCAATAGCTTGGGCTTTGGATCTGCTCCATAGCTTGGTCTCATGGATTTGCTCCATAGCTTGGTCTCATGGATCTGCTCTGTAGCTTGGTCTCATGGATCTGCTCTGTAGCTTGGTCTCATGGATCTGCTCCGTAGCCTTGGCTCTGGATCTCCTCAGTAGTCTGGGCTTTAGATCTGCTCTCTAGCTTGGTCTCCTGGATCTGTTCCATAGCCTTGGCTCTGGATCTGCTCCGTAGCCTGGTCTCTGGACCTGCTCAGTAGTCAGGGCTTTGGATCTGCTCCATAGCCTGGACTCCTGGATCTGCTCCATAGCCTGGGCTCTGAATCTACTCTGTAGCCTGGGCTCTGGATCTCCTCCAGTGGCCTCCTGTGAGCTCTTGATCTACTCCATACCGTGGAACTGCTCTGTAGCCTGGGCTCTTGGATCTGCTGCAGAAGCTCTTGACTTGTTGAATAGAGACAGGGCTTGATGGCATTGCTTGCACTGCAGCCATGTGGAGCTGTCAACTGCTTTGGTGGTTGAAAAGGTGGATGGACAGTGGTAGTTTGGAAGAGGTTCTGGGGGATTTTTTGGGGTGGGAATGGCAGGGCGGTCTGTTGAGTAGTTAGAGGTATTACTACGTCATCTGAAGAGAATACTTTGCGTGGATTGAAGGGATTTTGACAGAGACATGTTGATCATTTTGGAGAGTCTATAGAAGTCTTTCTTAATCCTTTAACCCCAAAAAGGCCCTTGAAATAATTTTCAGGACCTGGGGAACCCCTGCTAAAATTAATATATTGGGAGTCAGAGGCAAGAATGTTCCTTCCATTGGTGGTCAGTGGGAAGAATGTTCCTTACATTGGTGATCAGTGAGAAGAATGTCCCTTACATTGGCGATCAGTGAGAAGAATGTTCCTTACATTGGTGGTCAGTGGGAAGAATGTTCCTTACATTGGTGGCCAATGGGAAGAATGTTCCTTACATTGGTGGTCGGTGGGAAGAATGTCCCTTACATTGGTGATCAGTGGGAAGAATGTCCCTTACATTGGTGATCAGTGGGAAGAATGTCCCTTACATTGGGGGTCAGTGGGAAGAATGTTCCTTACATTGATGATCAGTGGGAAGAATGTCCCTTACATTGGTGATCAGTGGGAAGAATGTCCCTTACATTGGGGGTCAGTGGGAAGAATGTCCCTTACATTGGTGGTCAGTGGGAAGAATGTCCCTTACATTGGTGGTCAGTGGGAAGAATGTTCCTTACATTGGTGGTCAGTGGGAAGAATGTTCCTTACATTGGTGATCAGTGGGAAGAATGTTCCTTACAATAGTGGTCAGTGGGAAGAATGTTCCTTACAATAGTGGTCAGTGAGATGAATGTCCTTTAACCACTTGCCGACCGCGCATAGCCGAATGACGGCTTCACCGCGGCCGGCCAGTTCTGAGTGGACGTCATATGACGTCCTCCCAGAACGCGCTCTCCTGCGCGCCCCAGGGGGCGCGCACCCGGCGATCTTCGTGATCGCTGTGTCCTACGGACACAGCTGATCACGAGATGTGGTGAAAGGCCGATCCCACCGGCCTTTTACCACGTGATCAGCGGTGTCCAATGACACGCTGATCACAGGAAAATGCAAGTGCCGGTTCTCGGCTGCACTTTCCTCACGCTGTCAGATCGTGAGGAAAGTACTGCCGAGAACCGGCAGTTGTCAGAGCGGGGATCGGCACCGATCATCAGGGCACTGATGATCAGTGCCCTGATGATCGGTGCCCAGCAGTGACCCCCGCAAGTTCCGATCAGCTGTGCGCCCACTAGCCCCGCCCACCCATTCCCAGCAGTGCCCCCACCTGTGCCCAGCAGTGCCCCCACCTGTGCCCAGCAGTGCCCCCACCTGTGCCACTCTGCAGTGCCACCTACCTGTGCCCAGCAGTGCCACCTACATGTGCCCAGCAGTGCCACCCACCTGTGCCCACCCACCTGTGCCCACCAGCGCCACCCACCTGTGCCCACCAGTGCCCACCCACCTGTGCCCACCCACCAGTGCTGTCCACCAGTGCCACCCACCAGTGCCACCCACCAGTGCTGCCAGTCAGTGCCACCAGTCAGTGCCCAGGGGTTGTGCCAGTCAGTGCCGCCAGTCAGTGCCCAGAAGTGATGCCAGTCAGTGCCGTCTATCAGTACCCATCATCAGTGTCACCTATCAGTGCCGCCTATCAGTGCTGCATATCAGTGCCGCCTATCCGTGACCCCTAATTAGTGCTGTCTATCAGTGCCGCCTATCCGTGCCACCTCATTAGTACTGCCTATCAGTGCCCTTTAGTGCTGCCTATCAGTGCCCATCAGTGCCGCCTATCAGTGCCCATCAGTGCCGCCTCATCAACGCAAATCAGTGAAGGAGAAAAAATACCTGTTTGAAAAATTTTATAAAAGAAACAAATAAACTTTTTTTTTTTTTTCAAATTTTTTGCACTTTTTTTAATTTATAGCGCAAAAAGTAAAGCGCCCAGTGGCGATTAAATACCACCAAAAGAAAGCTCTATTTGTGAGAAAAAAATGATCAAAATTTCATATGGGTACAATGTTGCATGACCGCGCAATTGTCAATCAAAGTGCGGCAGCGCTGAAAGCTGAAAATTGGCCTGGTAAGGAAGGGGGTATAAGTGCCTGGTAGGCAAGTGGTTAAATTGGTGGCCAGTGAGAAGAATGTCCTTTAAATTGGTGGTCAGTGGGAAACATGTTCCTTACAATGGTGGCCAGTGGGAGGAATGTCCCTTACATTGACAGTCATTGCGAAGAATATCCTTTAAATTGGTGGTCAGTGGGAAGACATACAGACATCTAAAAAGATCATTGGTGTCATGCCACTGGCTCTTCCAAGTGGCATTAGACGTGGAACTATGCAGGCATCATCAGATGGGAGGTCACTCAGCCACAGATCAAGGACTAATAACCTCTGAAGGAACCCTAAAGTTCCACGGATTCCTGGTTAAGAATGGCAGTTCTATAGGGAGATGAACTCCTTCAGGAATATGGAGAAAAGTCAGTTGACTGGGTTCGAAGTCTTCAGTGGGAATGTAATGACCGGCATTGTATTTCAGTCGAACGATGTATGGGTTAATGGGAGAGATGGTCTTAGCAGCTGATCAAGGCTTGTTCTCCTTTCTCCGTAGAAGACAGAATCATCCCTTTGCTGTAGCAAAGTGGTGCTGGGTCTTGGCGGGGTGCAATCTAGCATCAGATGGAAAGAGGGTCTTTTACGACCAGTCACTTTCCTTGAGAGATTTGCTCCTTTCTGGTTGAATGTTGTGCAACTGGTCGTTATTGGGTGCAGGAAAGGCGCCTACGCATCGCGAAAGTGTGATCGCAAACGTGCTAAACCACACAAGCGATGAGATTTTCGAACCAGAAAATTCTAGTTCTAGAGATCAACTTGTATGGTCGGTCACGAGAAACTGGAATCTTGAAGGACTCTTTAGCTGGAGATGGCTTCTTTGAAGACCACCATGGTATGTGTATGGGTGTGCTATTGTTGAGCGATTATCCGATACAATACATATGTGGGGGGGGGCACGGGAACATCGATAGTTCAAGCTGGATTTTGGCAAAGAACTTCAAGTGTCCTCTCGCCGGCACGCCAAGTGCACCGGGCGCTTTGTAGTTGCCCCCTCCACCTCCAGGCCCATTCATGCTCCACGCGGTGCTGTTGTGTATTTGGCACACGCTTTTAACACCTTGTCTTCCGCGCCATGGAAGGCCGGAGAGAGGGAAACGGGAAGAGGGAGGAGGTAGTGAGGGATTTTTCCTTCCAAAATTTCACAGGAAGAGGAAGGGACCGTGCTGGTCCATGGAGCGCCCCCACCACCCCCTTCCTCAGATGTTCCTCTCCGTGTCCATCCTGTCCTCCTAACAGAAGGCCACATTACTGACCGTGGAAAACAAAACTCCCACAAGCACAGCTGTCTGCCTGATCAGCATCTTGCAACATCCAGTGCCAGGGCAGGGAGGAGAGGATCCTAGGCTGCCGATGGTTCTTCCACTTAAAGGGTCAGTCCACCCAAAAGTGATATTCTGGGTAGAGGTGGAGCCAAGTGGACCCAGTCAGTCCTTGGCTTTGTAATGGTTTTGGATACCGCAGAGGAGAGATCTCCGGGTCATAATTCCCGGCTCTGCTCTTGTCCACCTGGGAGTTTCACAACCAACGTTGTCCCAACTCCTATCATATTCTCCACAGGATGATGGAAACCCTTCATAATGAGCACGAGGGGGGGGGTACAGACCCGGGAACTCAGTACAGGGATGGTGGGAACCCCTCATAATGAGCACGGGGGGGTTACAGACCTGGGAACTAAGCACAGGGATGGTGGGAAACCCTCATAATGGGCACAGCGGGTGTACAGACCCGGGAATTCAGCACCGGGATGGTGGGAACCCCTCATAATGGGCACAGCGGGTGTAAAAACCCGGGAACTCAGCACAGGGATGGAGGGAACCCCTCATAATGGGCACAGCGAGTGTACAGACCCGGGAACTCAGCACAGGGATGGTGGGAACCCCTCATAATGGGCACAGCGGGTGTACAGACCCAGGAACTCAGCACCGGGATGGTGGGAACCCCTCATAATGGGCACAGCGGGTGTACAGACCCAGAACTCAGCGCAGAGATGGTGGGAACCCCTCATAATGGGGACAGCGGGTGTACAGACCCGGGAACTCAGCACAGGGATGGTGGGAACCCCTCATAATGGGCACAGCGGGTGTACAGACCCAGAACTCAGCGCAGAGATGGTGGGAACCCATTATAATGGGCACAGCGGGTGTACAGACCCGGGAACTCAGCACAGGGATGGTGGGAACCCCTCATAATGGGCACAGCGAGTGTACAGACCCGGGAACTCAGCACAGGGATGGTGGGAACCCCTCATAATGGGCACAGCGGGTGTACAGACCCGGGAACTCAGCACCGGGATGGTGGGAACCCCTCATAATGGGCACAGCGGGTGTACAGACCTGGGAACTCAGCACCGGGATGGCGGGAACCCCTCATAATGGGCACAGCGGGTGTACAGACCTGGGAACTCAGCACAGGGATGGTGGGAACCCCTCATAATGGGCACAGCGGGTGTACAGACCCGGGAACTCACCAATAAAGTTCCAGAGAGATAGAGGAGATTATTTAGAGGTTTACTCCACACCAAGCAGCTGAGCCTTCATGATCTGAAGGACAGAAATCCAGCGGTGGCCCAGAGACAGTCAGGCTGGGGGAGGAAAGGACTAAATGATGCTGGGTGCCCTCCAGCCAGGAAATGGGGCGGAGCTCTATCTGACTTGCTGCAGCTTCTAATGCCCATTATGAGAAGCTCACAGTGTGCGGTGAAATCAGAGGAGCCGGCAGAACCGCGCCAGACTCATCCAGGGCTCAGCTTTCAGGATGGTGTAATAAGCAATCTCGTCAGGCGGCAGGGCATGCTGAGACTTGTAGTTCCACGGTAGCCAATGGAGGCGTGCGATTGCCGTAATTGGTGCTCCGGGGCCCCTGTGAAGGCACGGGGTAGCTGCCATAACAGACCCCCATTGTTCGGGGACCCCGAGGGCTTTGCAGCAGGAGAGGCATCCAAACCTTCATGCAAATGAGATGCAATTAAGTCTAATTAAAAACAGAGAGTGTGCGGCGCGGTGCGGATCGGCGCAGTAACGGAACATTATGCCAAAAGGAATGGCGCCCTGGACGGGGGGCCACTGCGGGGGGGGGGGGGGTCCATGATGAATTTCTATTGATTTTCTTGCATTGTACGCGGAGAAGTTGTTCGGTAATCTGGCACTTCGTCTGAGGAATGTGTCAGCGGCCACCGCGCTTTGTGCTGACGCCGTCACTTCGCCTCCCCGGCTCCTAGTTAATCATTTCGCCTTCATTGGCTCTCTGGCGTAATTACATATGAGCCTCGCCGGCCAGGGGATCAATGGCAGGATGACACTTCGAGATGAACGCCTGCCCTGCACAGCTCTCCCGGACTGCAACGGGTCACTCGTGATTTCACCGCACACTGTGAGCTCCTCGCCATGTGCACTAGAAGCTGCAGCCAGTCAGATAGAGCTCCGCCTCATTTCCTGGCTGGAGGACGCCCGGCATCATCTAGCCCTGACCGACTGTCCCTGGCCCCGCCCCTTATCCTCATTAGGATTTCAGTCCTTTTATGGTATGCATGCAAATAGAACAACCACACCTACAGACTGACACCCACCCATGAAGGCATTTAGGTATTTGCATAGCTCCTCCCAAGAGCCATCCCAATGCGTGCGTTAA